CAAACTCTCTCCAGATTTAAACTCCACATTTTAGCATGACAGAATCAAGTAAGTACAGTAAACATCTGCTTCAGCTAAAAACTACCAAACCCATTAATTTTCTGTGGGTTGTTGGTGAATGCTCTGGTGTGGGTTACTCCTTCTTTCCTGACAAAACACCTATCATCCTTATCTCTCCTGCTTCTATTTTGTGTTTGTTTCTTCTGTAGCAACACCTCTAATCTTCATCACGTATATGACCTAAGTGTGTTGCAAATGCCGTAAAACTTGTATTAAAAGAAATAAAATTCTTTTTTTTTTCTTCTGTAATAACACATCTAAGCTTCAGCACGTATATTATGACCTAATCGTGTTGCAGTAACCGGGAAACTTATTTTTAGAAAAAACAAAATTCTTTTTTCCTCTATAGTAGCGCATCTAATCTTCAGCACATATATGACCTAATTGTATTGCAAACGCCGCAAATCTTTTTTTTTTTAAACAAACAAAATTCTTTTTTCCTCAGATCAGTTCGCCAACGCTGAGATCGTGGCTTCTCTGCCCAGCCGCTGGAAACTGAACATCGGCTACGCTCACTCCTTCGGCATGACGGAGAACTTCTTCATCCACTTTGAACAGCCCTTGGCCCTGAACGTACCCCGGATGTTGTGTATGGGTCTCTTAGGGGCGGGGCTCGAGTCCACTTTGGTCAACTACACCTCAGAACCGGTAGGTACAATCACATATTAATGTACAAGGTGTAAAAAGATTATTTTTTTTTTTTAATAAAAAGAAAAGGACATGCTTAAAGGGGTGATAATTCTGTCATCTCAGCACTGATTTCAACAAAACTTTGAACAAATAAAAAATCAAATAATTCAACAGAGGGGCAGATATTCAATAATATAAGAATATTAAAGAGTATGTTTAGAAACATCAAGTTTTGAAAATGACAACCAAACCTTGGTAAAACGTAACCTTGACCTCTTAAAAGCATTCAGGATCAGGGGGCGTGATCGGCCTGTCCTGGTTTCGGGACTAGAACAGTAATACCAAGACATTTAGTCACATACCCTTTAGAATAAAAAAAGAAGACCAATAGCAACCACTATTGATTAAAGATGAGGAGGTGGAGCTTGTAAACTCTTACACATATCTTGGAATAACAATTGATGACAAGCTTGACTGGCATCCCCGCGATGCTCTTCTTATTATAATGGAGCTAAGCTCGTTTTTGTGGGGTCACTATACATTTTTTTACACAGGTGCCTATAAAATCTACAAAAATATGATTCAAGAATAGTCACAAAGGTTTACGTGGGCATATTTGCAAAGTTCGAAAAGTAATCAACCTATTGAATTTTCAGGTTTGATGGTTTTTCCTGTAAATCGAAGCTCTCGGATGTTTTCACTATGTCCTTAGCCATTTCATATTTTACTGAGGACTACTTCCGTTTCGGGTCCTCCTTCTTCGTTTGTGTGAGACAGCTGCTTCTACTACTTCCAGAACTAGAATCTCGATATCCAACTCTGTTTGGTTGTGTGCTTCACGGTGTCAATGGATACTTCAGGCCAAACTTCATTGTATTTACTTTTTCTAGATACATTAAATTTGGTATAGTCATGTCCCCAACACGTTGTGTTCGTTTAGACCCCCAAAATGTTTACTTCGTTGTATTGACGTTTTCAAAATTTTGGCGCGTATTTGGTGCTTAGGTTTTTAGAGCAAGACGCTAGGTCTAGATCTCTCTATATCGTAGAAGTATAATTTGGAGTACAGAATTCAAGACTGTTAATTTTGTAAGACAGAAGTGCTGTTTGTGCCTTGTGTCTGAAGGGTCATGGGTTTGAACCCTGCCACGGGACCGAAATTGTCTTCTTGATAGAGGTATGTTGTATGACTTATCCTCACTTCATCGAAGTGAGAATGGGTACCCGGCGGTTGGCGTGAAAGATGTCTTGTATGCATAAAATAATAAATCAAAGAATGTTCCCTTTAAAGGAAAGTATGACTTATTCGTGTAAGTAAATAGATTATGTCCCTTTCATACCATCTATGATTGAAAACGTGTTACTATTAAATTTTGTATTTGCTGATGGTGTGGGAATTATTGGGTGAAAGATAAAGAAAACTTGACAGAACCACTAAGGAAGCCAGCAAGATCTCTGGATATCATATATATATAAATCCCATAGGGTTGTTCAAAATTCCCAGTGATATTATATTTGTGGAAGTTCCCTACTTCGGTCGCTAAAACTTCTGAACCACTTATTTTCGAATTAGGAAAAAAAATAACGGTGATTCAGAATCATTTAAAGAGTGCACAGTTATATTAAGGAGTCTGAACTCACTGCAGCTTAATGTTCAGCTTTTCATTAGTTATTTCGTTTAGATCTAGTCTTGGGAAAGTCCGTCTTCTAAGACGCCATTGTAAGCAAGTGAGGCTTCCGTTCACAAGCAGTGCGCACTGGTTCTACAATGACTGGACGATCGATTCTTTTGAGTCTTTTCATCCAACGGGTACCCAGCTAGTTTTACTAGATTTGATTACATGTTTAAGATCACAAGGGCAACAAATTATAACCAGTTTCTTTGTTGTTTTGTTTGTTTGTTTGTTTGTTTCTTAACATGTTTGATATTAGTGTATTTTCTAACTAGTTTCTCTTTTTTTATTTTGATATTCGTATGTTTTCCAACAACCAGGTTCTTTTTTATTTTGATATCCGTGTATCATTATATGTGACAGATCCAGATCCACGTGGTGAACAGACACACTGGGGAGAGGGTACCCATCAAGTACATCGCTCCTCACGGCTTCATCTTCCACTTCATCAACTGCTACGAGGACTCCGGCTTCGTCGTTGTGGATGTTGTCTGGAACAACAGCACCTCGTAAGTAGGACGGTCATCGTGGTGCCGATAGTCTTGATGTCGTCGTCGTTGTTGTTGTTGTTGCTATTGTTGTTGTTGTCGAAGTTGTTGTTGTTGTTGTTGTTGTTTTGTTGTTGTTCTTGTTGTCCTTGTCCTTGTTCTTCTTCTTAATCTTTCTGTTATTGCTGTTGTGTTGTTGTTATCGTTGTCTTTGTTGTTGTAGTTGTTGTTATTGTTATTCCTGTTCTTGTTCTTGTTTCACTTCTTCTTCTTTCCCTGCTAGATGTCATGGGTAGACGATTGCTGGTTCTTCTACTTGCAGTGCAACTGAATTTTACGTATGGCCGTTTTTCCTACTGTCCCAAACCCCGAACTCTATCCACTTATTCTTGTATTCAAACTCATTTGATATATTCATTCAGTCATTCGCTAATTCAGTCCTGAAATTATAATCACTTATTCTTACATTTCTAATTTCGCTTCACTATCTTTTTGCCTTACCTTTATTCGTTAATTCATTTTCTCGTTCCTTCGTCTGTACATCTGTCTATCCATTTATTCGTCCTTCAGGCCAATCAAAGACTTCTACATAGACCAGCTTATGAATGCCCAGAAACACAAGTTCCCACTAGACACCGGTTTTGCACGATTTGTCCTGCCTCTCAGCGTTCAAGGGGTAAGGTTAATGCAATGGGGACACAATTCTTCTTCTCCTTCTCCTTCTCCTTCTCCTTCTCCGTCTCCTTCTCCTCCTCCTCCTCCTCCTCC